CAAGCACGCATCTACCCCCCCCCCCACAAAAAAAGATTATTCAACATATTTATTGTTCCTTTTTCCTAATGAGAACCTCCACTACATATTTAATTTTTAACAGTAACCATTCAAATGTAACAGTATGATGATTAACAATTATTACTATGAAACACAAAACAGTAAATATATCAAATGTAGAAAATATTAAATATTTATTTTGATCCATAAATACATTTTGATCAGTAATTAATTAAATAAATTGACAAATCAAAAACACAAAAATATCATTTTCCAGAGAATATATTTTTTATTCAGTTGAATTCTACTTATTTTTACTATTATTAATTATAATTCATTTTAAGATTATTTGATTATTGTGAACGCGAAAAGTAATAGTTTTATTTTACAAAACATTTTTCTTCCTCAATATTAGTTACACTTTTGTATAGCTGTGTTTCTTCTTCAAGTACACTTTACTGTAATCTCATAATCCAATATGTAAGTGTAAATAAAATCTGGTATTTATCATTAATTTTAAGATTATTTGATTTTTGTGAATGCAAAAAGTTACTGTTTCATCTCACAAAACATGTTTTATCCTTAATATTAGTTACACTTTTGTGTAGATGTGTTTCTTCTTCAAGTACTATATTGCATTACAGCAATACATTATGAACTTCATCACATTTAGCAGTCCCATATGTTATTAATTTCAATCTGTCTGATATCTCAAAATACTCAAAACACAAGACGACTTGACAAGAAACAAAACCAGAACGGGACTAAACGTCGACAGTCCCCCGAGAGCTATAAATATTAAGATAAATGAACAGACGTTCCAACAGTGACAAAGAGAAAATTCAGGCCCTGACATTGAAGGTCATGCTAGAAAAATTACAAATTATGATAAAACTCTATTTTAAGAATTGCCTTCCTGTTTGCACAGTATCTTAATTTCCTACCCCGTTCATTATTATCACATGATTTTCACCAGAAAGAAATATTCTGGCTTCATTTATGAGAAGCTGAAATGTTCAAATGGTTGTTTTAGGGACTAAAGGGACCAATGAATTTTTCCCACAGACGAGGTCAGGACTCATGTTTACTTAAGGGGCTACATGTTTCTTTCTCACATTGAAGGAACTCTTGGTATGATAGGGACCCTGGGGTGCACAGTCAGCCCACAACAAGTAGCTTTTTTTTTTTTTTTTAACCAAAGAGAGGTTTAGTCTGAAATCTGTGCCGTGTTACAGCACACACAACATGTTTTCTCCTTTCTCAGGCTTCAAGTGGTTTGGTAGTCTCACCAACCTCCGGCGGAAATCAGACACTCAGAAGGACGATGTCAAAGAGGTGTCCACCGACGATATGGGCATGCATCCACGCAGCCCGAGCTACGCCAGCTCCAGTGAAATGTACACGCACATGGGCACCATGCCGCGTCACCCGAAGAAGGACAAAAGCTTGAAGAAGAGCAAGTCCAAGGACAAAACCAACCTCAGTCGGAGTCAAAGCATGAGACCTCCACAGGACCATGTTGTTGATTCCCCCCTTCTCAGCGTACTCTCCGGGAAGGGCCTGGAGGCCCTGGAGAACCCCATCTCGGAGGACAAGCCAGCTGCAGGAACCAGAGATAATCACATTCAGAATCGTGACCTTCCACCTCCACCGACTATGGATGGACACTCAACAAATCTGAAAGATGAAGATAAGGAGCCATTAGTTGACTCCAAGCTACATGTTGATCCACCAAATGCATGTCTAGAATCTTCACCAGGTCTAAGTCAGAGCAAAGAGCCAGACATCCAGCCAGTGCTGCCCAAGAAGAGACATAAAGAAGGAGACACCTCCATGAAGGATGCTGAGGAGCTCCAGGTGGATTTGATTCAGTTACCTCTGAAACACGGCAGTCAGGTGGAGCAGAAGCAAGCAGTAGAGGAAGATGCTAAAATAGGATCAGACTGCAAACAAGACAGTCAGGAAGAGAAAGAGCCTAACAGGTAAGAATCAGTTTCTTGATTCTTGAATCTGACCTTCATTGTTTGTTTATACCCTCCCTTGCAAAAATTATCCATGGTTTTACTACAAATAAAACCAAAAAAATCATGGTTACAATAGTTAATCCATAGTAACCACAAATTAACCATGGTTTTACTACACTAACGATAGTTTAACCATGGTATTTGTAGTAAAACTGTGGTTATACAAATGGTAGTCAATATGCCCCCCAAAAAAATTTACTAAATGTTTACTATAATAAAATCATGGTTAATTTTCGTATGGGCTAAGTACAGTAGCTGAGCACAGTACTTAACGTTAAAGATTAAATGCCATTCACAATTCATTTTAATTACATACTATTATGTATTTATATTGAATGTGTTTCATACTGAAAACAAGTGCTATTGGGAAATGGATTTGTGTTGCTATGTAAATACAGCAATGCCACATGAATGCTGTTCTGACAAAAAGCAATGTGATTTTTACACAAAAATTCAATAAACACAAAGTTAATATTGAGCATTTTAGACACAATATTGCAGTTAGTTTCTGTTTTTTCCGCACCGCGATTCGTTCCAAACAAAGCCAAAGCTGAATGAACCAGCTAGCAACATCGCAACATCGTTAACAGTGAACGAATCCATTGAATGAATGAATTGCCACTTTCACACAGCAGCAGAATATTTAAATAATCTCACTTGATAATATGTTGATATCAAATACACTTACTTGAGGACATTTGTATTTGAATCCTTACGGTTCAATTCCCACACCGTTAAAGTCTGCGTGAATCGGAATTTGCAGCCCACTTTATTTCAGTGTAGTGACGTATTTCCAGCTGAAAAGGAATATTGAATAGAGGGCGAGGATTTATGTTTGCGCTCCTCCTCCTCTCTGTCTCTCACTCATAGCAACCTAACGGTTGGATGGGCATGGTTATGGATATTCTGCCCGAGCCGTCAAACTGGCATCATCAGAAAAGAAATGCCATTCCAGAGCGGAAGCAAATGTTCAGATTTTGATTAAAGATTACCATGACAAACTTTTTTTATCAGTGGACTAACTTGTTCATTAATTGTTCACCTCAAGACTAGCAATGTGCGCTAACAAAATAAATAAAGTCAATTCTGATTTCATGAGGACTTTGATTTTATGAGGACCAGTGTTGGGGGTAACGCATTACAAGTAACGCGAGTTACGTAATCAGATTACTTTTTTCAAGTAACTAGTAAAGTAACGCATTACTTTTTAATTTACAAGAGAATATCTGAGTTACTTTTTCAAATAAGTAACGCAAGTTACTTTTTTTTCCAATTTATTGACTGACAGCTCTCCTGTCCCAATGTTGAGAGAAATCAGAAGATGTTACTGTAGATCTAAAATAAATATGAATATGCATTCATCCATTTCACTCACAAAAAAAACACACAGATTCAGTATTCCTCAAAATGAATAAAAATAATGCAACTCAGAATATGACGCGAACCTGCAATAATTAAATGTTAAACAACACAAATATCCTTTATGTATTTAATCCCATTCTATTAACCAATGTCTTTGCTTCTGACCTCCGATGATCCAGTTCAACCAGTAACGCAAAAGTAACGTAACGCATTACTTTCCATAAAAAGTAACTAAGTAACGTAATTAGTTACTTTTTTATGGAGTAACGCAATATTGTAATGCATTACTTTTAAAAGTAACTTTCCCTAACACTGATGAGAACTAACACAGGACTGACAAGAGCAAAACCACAATTTAATAAACAAGAAGTTAATATTGAGTAACTTATGTTTTAGATTCAATTTGCTGGTTTATTTCTGTATTTTTGTTTCACTAACAAACACAGTTCTATTCTATACGAATCCAAAGCCAAATGAATCTTGGCACGTCTCGCTGCAACAGGTGTGATTCATTCCTGAATCATTCAGAATTTACGAACAAAACGTTTGAATGAATGACTCATTGACTCGCTCGAAAGACAATCACTTATCGCCACCTACTGGTGAACCGAATGTAACCCACAGTAACTGAAAAATATCCCAAATGCACAAGCGGAGTGATACAAACAGTGAAAAGCCCCAGTGCTGTTTAATAATGAAGCAAATTGAGACATTATTAGGGCAATACAAACTCTTCACAGATAAATCAGGTAGCTGCACTATAGGGTCAGATGAGACTAATCCTCATGTCTGACCATATACCGTGATGGTGGTTTTGTGATACAGTAAAATATTATCTCTGCTCCTTTGTGACACCGGTTCTTGTTCATTGTACATGTACATCTGGATTGATGTCACGCTTGAAATGTTCTCATGAGATAGAGGCTCCAAGATTAAGACCTGCTCCGTGTGTTTGGACATGCATACTAATAGAGTTAATCTCAAGGGCCCTAGACTCCAGTATGGTAATACCAAAATACTAAAATATATTTTATTGAATTTATTAATGTTTGGGATATGTAAAAGATTTTGGGCAATGATGGTGTTGGATATTCTCTTTTTACATCAGGTTTGTTTCTCTGCTCGGTTCAGCCATGTTTCCCATTTCACTTCCTGGCATGTAAATGGCTGGTAATGAGGTCACAAACCTGTGAATGTTTGATCAATGAGGTCAAACAGTGTTTCAGCAGTGACCCTCATAAATTCACATTAGTCACATTAGTGGGCAGCAGAGAGCAACAGGATGAACAGACATTCAAAGGAAAGCTGCTGTTCATTCCTCTCAACTTCCCAAAGGTACTTGACAGACCGTAGATGTAGAATGGGAAACTTGAATGAACAATTTTAGGAAACTCTTCATTGTTGTTGTTTTTTGTTGTTGTTGTTGTTTTTTTACAAACGTTTTTATTGTTGTCTATTCATTCATAAGTGTTGTTTGAGTACGAAGTTGCACAAGGATCTAAGGTGAGTTTGTCATTGTCAGTATGTTGTTTGTGTCGCAGAGTAGACGTCAGAAATTCACTACGGTTATTCACAGTTTAGTTCTACTGAAAAATTCTAACAATTTTTGTAATTTATTTTTTAAATTATTTTATTTTATTTACATTTTTATTATATTTTGATGACAGTGGTGGATGCATTGCTTATTATTTATAATATAAATAAATAGTGAACTTAAAAAAATGAAATATTAATGTCCTTTATACACACTGTATACTTTGAATTCAATATAGCCTTTACAAAAGAGAACTGTGGTCATAAATGGTGTAGTTATGGTATCCAATTATAATACTTTGAGATATGAAGAAGAAAAAAAACATGGCACTGTAATGGTATCTTGTCTTGAACAGTGTTTTAATACAGGCAAACTGCATATGCCACAAAAGCATTGGGTAACACTTTATTTCGATAGTCCACTTTAGACATTCTATTAACAGTAAGTAACTTTGCAACTACATGTCAACTAGCAGTTAGTAGAGTATTAGTAGACTGTCTGCTTAATATCTTCTAACACTTTCTTTGTCAACTTATTCTACTAACCCTAAACCTACCCTAACAGTCTACTCTTGAGAGTTAGTAGACATGTAGTTGCAAATTAATAAGAATTAGTTGACATGTAGTTGACATATAGTTACAAAGTTACTTATAGTTAATAGAACGTAAAGCATCAGATCCAACAGAACCAGTTGAGGCAGTGACTAAACCAGGTACTAAACTAGACAGAACTAGAATTTATCAAATAACATTTTACTGTACTGCAAAAAAAGCTACTGCAGATAAAATTGAAATCAATGTGAAATAAATTAAAATTATCCTTTTCTTCTGTACAATTCATACATTTGTCTTCATGATCTCTCTTCAAATAACTTGATATACCTCTGAAAATTACTTTTTTTTTTTTCTTTTTACACGTAATCTCATAATCTTTACAGTGGGTGCTTTTGCAAATGAGGAATCTGTTTAGAGTTGTTTTTAAATCCAGGTTAACCCTAAAAACAAACCAAAATCAACAAGACTTAACTACTCTCAACAAAATCCAACAAGCCATTTCTTTCTCACAGGAACTACCGAGATAGTTGTGAATGTTGACGATGACGGCGTCATTTCACTGAATTTTGAGTGCTCTAACCTCACCGCTGACTCCAAATTCGTCTGGTCCAAGAACTACATGGAAATGACAGAACCTGAACGCATGACCTTAGAGACCAAGGGTAACAAGTAAGTATCTATGGGCGAATGAGTTTTGTTAAATTACTAATTATCAAATTTAAAATTATGGCTTAAAGGGTTAGTCGAACCAAAAATGAAAATGTTGTTCCAAACCCATAAGACGTTTATTCATCAGAAAATACTTTTTAAAGGAATAGTTCACCCAAAAATGAAAATTTGCTGATACTTTACTCCCCCTCAGGCCATCCAAGATGTACAGTCATGTGAAAAAGAAAGGGCACCCTATTGAATTCCCTGGCTTTCCATATCAGGACGTAATAAAATAATAAAAATCTGGTCCTTAGCAGGTCTTAAAATCTGGAAAATAAAACTTCAGATGAACAACAACACATGACATATCACACCGTGTCATTATTTATGTAACAAAAACTAGGCCAAAATGGAAAAGCCATGGGTGACAGATCCACTTTTAGATCATGGCTCAAATATGCTTGCTTGACTTCTGTTTGTTAATAGACTTTTAATGGATGGACAACGAGATAATATTAATAATATCTTCATTTTTGTTTTAAAGATGAGGGATTGAAAAGACATGAGTTTGAGTAAATGTTTTGTCTTTTTGTTTTTGGTTCAAATGTCCCTTCAAACCAACTTGTGTACCTTCTGATCAATCAGTCTTGGGTAGAACATTTAAAAAATATATTATTTATTAATGTAGCAAACAATTTCAGCACATTTCCAGAGCTATAACTACAAAAAAAAAAAATATGGTTACACTTTATTTCGATAGTCCACTTTAGACATTCTATTAACAGTAAGTAACTTTGCAACTACATGTTAACTAGCAGTTAGTAGAGTATTAGTAGACTGTCTGCTTAATATCTTCTAACACTTTCTTTGTCAACTTATTCTACTAACCCTAAACCTACCCTAACAGTCTACTCTGAGAGTTAGTAGACATGTAGTTGCAAATTAATGATAATTAGTTGACATGTAGTTGACATGTAGTTAAAAAGTTACTTATAGTTAATAGAATGTCTAAAGTGGACTATCGAAATAAAATGTAACCAAGCATTGTCCTCTTATAATTAAGTTCTCAGTCAGAGCTCATTATAAACGACACCTGGTTTGTTGTTTGCAAGCGAGATCTTTTGTAAATACGGCTGAGGAGGATAATGATGTGAGGTCAGCCAGCACAGCTGGAGGATGTGAGAAATGTTTTCAGGAAACAGTGTGTTAAGAGTCTTCCTGCTTTTGTATTCAGTGTCTTTAAGAGGACACTGCTTCAGCTTCAACTTTTTGTGTTTTAATAATAATAATAATAATAATAATAGTTAATAGTAATAATAGTTAATATTATATTATTTTTTGCCACTTCACTTGCAGAATAAATTTATCATTGCCTGTATATAGGGATTTTCTTCAATGGCATTTTTGTTACTGTATGACAATATAAAGCACTTTGAGTGCCTACACTGTAAAAAAATACAGTGAATTTAACGGTAAAAGACTGTAAAAATGCTACAGTAAAAACCTGTTAAATGGTTAATGGTAAATCCCCCTACTATATACGGTGAAAAACTGTATTGGACATTACATGTAATTTTACGGTAGTATGCCGTTTTTGTAAGTGAAAAAGACTGTATAATTTACAGTGAATAACCGTAAATTGACATTCCCAGAATTCCCTGCATTACATTTCAAATTTGATGTTTTTTTATTGAAATAACTATGTTTCTTAGCTTTTTCTTATCAGTTTTGTATATTAGGGTTGTGTGTTACACCTAATGTTGTTAAATGAATGTTAATTGCATTATTTCAGTTTCATGTGTGTAACCATGATGGTGTTTAGCGTTTGTGTGAATGACACTGTGCACCTTCTATATATGTTATTATCTAAAAGAGGACCACATCAATATTTTCGCAGTTAAATATGCACTGCGTTCTGAGAGGAGAAATGGAGGAAGAATTCTACAATTATCGTATATTGATTCAAAAGTAAGATGTTATTGACACTTAGTAAAGTGATGTCATTATTAGTCTAGTCATCTTAAGTTACAAATTGCTTTTTTGAGTAAAGAACAGGCAAGGACAGTCTAGAGGTTTCAGACTTGACATCAGCCAGGGCCACCCAGTGGATATAGGCTTGATGAATCATTAAACTTTGCCCTCAACAAAGACAAAGGTCAGTTGATTAATTATAGGTTGATTTAAGTCCATTGTGCTGACGTCAGTCAACAAACTCCATGCAATTAGACCAGCTCAGATGCATTATGGAGTTGCTATAGGTAAGATAATGAAGGGAGCCTTTATAAAGTCATATTGTTCTGAAAGGATGGAGGTACACTGTAAAAAATGACCGTGAATTTAACGGTAAAAGACTGTAAAAATGCTACAGTAAAAACCTGTTAAATGGTTAATGGTAAATCCCCCTACTATATACGGTGAAAAACTGTATTGGACATTACATGTAATTTTACGGTAGTATGCCGTTTTTGTAAGTGAAAAAGACTGTATAATTTACAGTGAATACCCATAAATTGACATTCCCAGAATTCCCTGGGTTACATTTAAAATTTGATGGTTTTTTTTGTTGAAATAACTGTTTCTTCTTAGTTTTTTCTTATCAATTTTGTATATTAGGGTTGTATGTTACACCTAATGTTGTTAAATTAATGTTTATTGCATTATCTCAGTTTCATGTGTGTTCCCGTTATGGTGTTTAGTGTTTGTGTGAATGACACTGTACACCTTCTATACATGTTATTATTTAAAAGCTGCTTGTGATGGGCTTTGGTTCATCATGTGACTTTCTCATCACCACCTGCATTTGGTGGTTATCAGTGTATTACAAAGGTACAAAACAGATTTCAGTACTTCAATAGGTTGGTACAGTAACATTATATCAGTTAATGAAATTACAGTATTTAACTGTAAATGTAAGTTAAACACTGCAAAAAAAATCTCTCTCTAAAAGCAGTTTTAAAATGCTATGGTTAGATTTTTGGTCTAGAAAGTCCTGTTCTGGGTGCTGTTTTAGCATCTTGGGGTCTGAATCACATCTCAGGAGATATTTTGACTTGGTATGTTCCTTCGCATGTTGTTTTCATGATTCTACCCACTCTAGTGACCTTCAGAAAATAACAACAGATTTGTTGAGCATGTGAAGGACCTTTGCTTCATTTCCTGTTTGTATATCTATACTGCTTTCATTCCTGTGTTTCAGAACAGAAATCTTTGTTCAACACACCTTGTTTCACTTTGATTGACTTAGACTGAAGTGTGGAGGGCATTCATACAATGTCTTTTCAATGTGTTTGGCAGTGGTTTCCACACACTTCTGCTTTGCTGAAACTTTTCCCATGCTGAAAGTTGTTTCTTGGCCTGATCTGACAGTGAATTTGTTGTTGCTCATTTATCATACCGCCTTGTTAAAAATTCTTCCCATGCTTAAAGCAAGTTTGTTTCTCTCACACACTCACGGGAAAAAAAGGTACAAAAGCTGTCACTTTGTCATTTAAGGCAGTACCCTTTCAAACGGTACTATTATGTTCAGTGGAAATACTAATATGCACACCTTTATGGTACTAATGCACACCCTTTAAGGGTTAAATAAGGTACAAAAGTATACCTTTTGAAGAGATACTGCCTCATTGACAACTTTCGTACCTTTTTTCTGAGAGTGCATGAATTTTGACCAAGTATTTTTGCCACTGGGCAATATATTGAGATTTGAAATCTCTTCAGCCCAGACACTTTCTGTTATCGGTATTTCTCAGGGTTTATTTTTAAAAGTCCATTTTTAAAGCGTTTGAACATATTTACTGTTATTTTCAAGACAATAACAGCTTGCCCATAAATAGTTGGGGTAAGTTGTCACAATCAGAATATACTGTTTATTGACATTTGAGATGAGAACTTTTGCTTTTTTTTTGTTGAGAATAATGCTGCTTTCTCATTTACAGTTGTTTTATTGGCCCGAAAAGAAAGACTTATTGGTTAAAAAAGGTGTTTCTTTGTGATTCTTTCATGTGTCATTTTAATAAAGTTTTTTAATAATAATAATAATGATAATAATATTCATATTACTGTGTTCAGATGCTCTGTCTCTGCGCTTCCTGTTTTTTGGTTGAAACTCATTTCATCCTGTCATTGATGTAGTGTGCAGTAGGAGGAACGTAAACATGCTTTTCACTTCCTTTGGATGTTAAAAAAAGGTCAAGTTCCTCTGTGACTTTTATATCACATCCTGTGGTGTAAAAATTGCAATAGGAATAACTTATGATGAAATCCATCTCACTACATATCTCACTGATGCTGTTTAATGCTGAGGTGGCAGTCAACGTTTTTAAAATGCTTAAACATGTTTATGCATTTCTCTGGAATACTTGATTCTGATTGGTCAGTATTTTTGTATGAGGACACTGTGTAATTCAGTGTTACAACTGCTAATTTTCTTTCTTATCATATAAGAACATAAGTTTGACTATTAATTTTCATGTCAGCTTATTCATTTAGATTGCAATGTAAGTAGCTGTGCATAAAGTGGGATAATTTACAGTCAGATTTGTTTTGGAATTCTGATCAGGGTTTATTTGGCAATTATGCCTAATTGAATGACTCTCTGTTTATTATATATGGCGTACTATATAATATGAACATTTTGTGCTATTAAACAATGTTGTCAATGTTTTTTCTTTTCACAGACAACTGAACACCACAGGCAACCAAGGAGAATATGTGGAAGTAAGACCTTTTTTCTTTCTCTTATAACAAGAAGTCATTCAAACAATCTAAATCTCTCATCCTTGATAAGGAGAAGGAAGGAATTATTTTAATATATCTGTGTATAACTTCAATCTCTCTGTTCTTTGATTTAGGCTATATATTTCAGGCTCAGTCCCTGACAACTTGCTGAATGTGGTTATTTCATGCTTAATTAGGCACAATTCCTGTATTCATTAACTAAAAGCACCATTTGGAGATGTAATAAGAAATTAATCTAATGAGTTCTTTTAGTATGTGCTGATTTGGTGCAAATTAATGTTCTTCCTATTCCGGCCCTTATTTGCAGTCATTAAGATATTAGATTCTGCATTTAATTGCTGTGTAGTGAACTCCGCTGCCTCTAGATGGAGCTACAAACGGGTCTTTAATTCCTGAAGCTCTGTAAGAGAAGGTTAGCTGTGGCCAGACCCACATGACCCTCGTACCTTCAGAACACACATTCTCATTTACACACACTGCATAAAATATGTGCACACAGATAGCGAAACTTCCTCTTTGTCAATGACACATTCACACACAATGACACACATGTGGACATGTATTTATTTATTTATTCTTCTCAAGGATGTGAATTCTTGATTCATCTTAGTTGTTCCATTTAATAGTTATTTTATTACTTTTGAGGAAGGAACATTTGGAAAAATGTTGAGCTCTGCAAGCTGTGGCATATTTTTTAACATATTACTGTATGCAGGGTAGTATTGAAGGCTAATCTGGATTACGTAATCAGATTCCAGAAAGTAAGTACTTGTAATTAGATTACATTTTGAATACTTCGTAATCAGACTACAGTTACTTTTTATTGATTAAATATCATTCACGCAATACATATTATTCAGTTTCTTTATGAACCACCTTGACGTAATGTAATGTTTAATGCACTTCATGATGTTACTAACAACGGAGGGAATATATTATTTCTCTTTGTATTTTAGTATAAATATAGTATTCTATTATAATATAGGTTATCCTATAAAAAAAAAATCAACAATTTATGTTAGATAAACAAGTTATGTCAAAAGTAACTTAAAAGGTATCAAAAAGTAGTCGGATTATATTACCAAAAATTTGTAATTTAATGAATTACATTATGAAGTACAATTTTTGTCATGTAATTTGGAATCAGTAATGGAATACAATTTGTATTCTGTATTTTGACAGTATATAGACAGTATACAACTTTACCAGTCTTCTGACTGAGCACTACATTTTTTTCAGCAACAATCCTCATGTGTTTGTTCCATTAAAAATGGAACTTGTAACATAATTATGTTTCTAAATGACTACTAAGACACACCCAAAACAGCATCCAAACCTTGAATAGACCTACCTCATTAATGATTCAAGTTCAGAAGCCAATGGCAAGTCTCCAGCAGCAGAATTTTTCAATATTTTTTGACGTGACATGTGGCGAAGTATGGTGACCCATACTCGGAATTAGTGTTCTGCATTTATCCCATCCAAAGTGCACACACACAGCAGTGAACACACACCCGGAGCAGTGGGCAGCCATTTTTTGCTGCGGCGCCCGGGGAGCAGTTGGGGGTTCGGTGCCTTGCTCAAGGGCACCTCAGTCGTGGTATTGAAGGTGGGAGAGAGCGCTGTACATTCACTCCCCCCACCGACAATCCCTGCCGGTACGAGACTCGAACCCGCAACCTTTTGGGTTACGAGTCCGACTCTCTAACCATTAGGCCACGACTTCCCTTCTTCTTTTTTATTTATTTATTTATTTATTTTTATATTTATATTTTTGTGTTAGAAGTCATTTTGTTTATTAAAATTACAATATGCAATTTGGGTGTATGATGCACAGATAAATTTAGATAGATAACACAGATAATTTATGTCATACATGATTCCTGAAAAACAAAACAAAAAAAAAAACATGTTAAACTGTCTCGTTGTGTTGATCTGTTTTAATATAGCATTTGGTCTATTTCAGTTATGATACGGATTGTTATTGTTTTCTTTCTTTATTTCATATCATGCCAAAAGTCTTTTTAAATTAAATTCAGTACTCCATTTTTGATTCACTATAAATAGATTCGGACAGCACCGGTCGTACAGTATGTTTTTGGTTCAAAAGTAAAGAAAAAAAGCACCAGCTTGTTAAGATGAGGCCTGTATCTGGGCCAAAAACTTGTGCTTGGGCACACTCCAAAGGCAGAGTGTCTCATATCACTTTGTTTAAGTAAAAGCATTAATGTTTATGAAGGCCAAAAGTAGCCATTGTGAACGGACAGTATACATTCACAGTGTCATGGCATAGCTTTAATGTTTTTGAGACTGGGCATGTTTATGCATAAACCCACGTAATAATTGAAAACTCTAACAATATCAATCATAAATCCAATATCTCTGTTACTTAGTGAAGAAGAGGAGAGAAGTATCCTCAGCTGAACAGAGCTGCTCAACTTGCATATTCTGTTAAAAATCTAAAAAGAGTTATGAAAGTTACAATTTATAGGCCGTTTATGTTGGGAGTGCATTGAGAGTCTGAGAAGTTGGATGGTTGAGCTCCAGTAAGTTAATAATGAGGCGACTTTGGTGGTTACAAATTTGAAAAACACAAAGGTGGGAATAAAGAACCCTAAACTCTAACACAAAGAACCATTTCACAATGTAAGAGTTCTCCAGGATGATACTGTTCTAAATAGAACTGTTACTAAGTGTAAAGAACCTTTAAAAAACATTTCTAGATTGTATATCCAATGGCCAACCTGCACCAGGGGCGGATTTAGTGAATTGGGTGCCCCAGGCAAAATATAGGAATGGGGCCCTATACATTTGCACACATTTTCCTAGATCAACCTTGAGGTTCCATTTTGTTGTTTTCAGCATAAACCTGTGTGCTGTCTAATTCTAAACTTTAAAATACATTTATTTTTAGTTGTTTTAACTACAAATTTAAATAAAACTGAAAAAAATAATGAAAAGGCAATTATACAGTTACACACCTAAAATACATATATCAAGAGCATGCTCACAGATGAGAACAAAACAGCGTTGGATGAAGTGGATTAAAGCCCTGCACAGGGCTCAAATCTAGCCCGTCTTTTTTCCCCTTTTCCCCAAAAAAGCTTATACTACTGTTTCAGCTATTAAAATAGTTCAAAATAGTTTTGTATGTAATGGAAAAGTGATTATATTTCGTTTCGTTTTTTTATAAAGTAAATTTAGAAAAACATTTGGAGTATTTTTTGTTCGTTAATATGTAAGTTTTTTTGTTTTTTTAAGTAAAGTACAGCGGCAGACAGTGAATTGATCATAGCCTATAGCCTATGTTTGATCAATTTAGCCTTCTCAAATCATCAGGACACAGGCCTATAATAACTGCTGAAATGTTCGCGGGGCAAATTTGAGGTCAGTCTGAGCGCTCATGGTACTCACAGTGCGTACAGCCGTATAGCTGCAGGCGCCACAGACTCGGACGGTTGTAAACACCGCAATAAACACCGTAAACTGCAAACATTCGCGTGTCTGCGCTTAATGCGCATATCCTATATGAAAAGCATTTTAGGGGGCCCTTGGCTTTTGGGGGCCCAAAGGCGGTCGCCTACCTTTGCTTAATGGGTAAGTCCGCCCCTGACCTGCACGTACATTATGCGCCTGCTTGAGAGGAAATAACTGTCTATACCAGAAGGTGGCAGAAGTCAGTTTTCGTCATTCAAAATGGAAAACCAGTTGGACTGCAGATATACAAACTGTCAACAATGCAGCACATAGCATTTTCAATATGAATCCTGCTGATCAGTTGGTCTTCACTTTGAAGTGTCATTATGAATTTATTCCATATTGGAAGGTAAGATGAAGATGTAAAATTAGAAGAACTGTCTTGACTTCATTGCTTGCTTGCTTTCATCACTTTCATTTTTCTTCTCAAATTCTGGTTTAGACTACACTGAGCTCACTGTTCTGTACGTTTCAGAATCACTAAAAATAAATGTTTTTTTTTTCTTTTTAATGTCAAGTGGCAAGTCATGGGGAAGTCGTGGCCTAATGGTTAGAGAGTTGGACTCGTAACCCAAAGGTTGCGGGTTCGAGTCTCGTACCGGCAGGGATTGTAGGTGGGGGGAGTGAATGTACAGCGTTCTCTCCCACCTTCAATACCACGACTGAGGTGCCCTTGAGCAAGGCACCGAACCCCCAATTGCTCCCCGGGCGCCGCAGCAAAAAATGGCTGCCCACTGCTCTGTGTGTGTGTTCACGGTGTGTGTGTGTGTGTTCACTGCTGTGTGTGTGCACTTTGGATGGGATAAATGCAGACCACTAATTCCTAGTATGGGTCACCATACTTGGCCACATGTCACTTCAACACAACAGTACCATAATTGTTCATTGTACTTTCTTTATCCTTTTGTAAATGTATTCATGGTTTTTGGAGTTTTTAGGCATGTCGAACACCCTATCCATATTGCCATGAGTCTAATTTGACTAGTTGCAGAAGGTTATTGTAGTAGTTTATTGGATGCACAGCTTTTCCCTCCACTTCTTGGATGCCATCCTTCGCACTCTTCTCCGCCACAATATGAAACTTTAATGGTGTCTGAGTTAAAAATGAGTCTCTGCCCTGAATGTTCACTGTAATGGCAAAAAACAGCTCTTTCGACTGGAAACAGAGATGAACGACCATTCATGCCAGAATAGAATGTTCCCAGAGGCCCAGACATGTGTGATCTCTTGAGGTGTTCGTAATTGCATTCTTCCATTCATTCAGCCGTTGATGCTGATGTTTATTTTTTGCTGGGTTGTCATCTCATTATCTCGGCTGTTCCTAGATCTCACACCTTTCCCAGCACCTTAGGATTGAACTCCTAACCTTTCTGCTAGTCGCTAACACCAATTAGCAGTTTCCTTTCGGTAGTTGTATTACTGAAAATTCTACTGAAATATACCAAAGCGGATCTGCTCTAGCAGTACTACAGTACCAGTAGTAGTAATATTTCATTCAGTGT